AACAATTGAGCTAGTCCAGGAGGCAAGACTAGGAACCTTTTCTTTTACCGTTTATCATTCCATATGTGCATATGAGTTTTCCACTGAATCGCATATTTCAGGATCATAGCAGTTATAGCATGAAATATAAATGCTTAGTTATGAATATGGAAACATAATAATACAATATTGGTGCCTCGAGGGCATATTTCCAACAAACTATGCCCCCCAGGTCTACTTTAATCATATTATAAAAGCCAAAAATATCTTGCTGCAATTTATTTACTTTTATTTCGTTTTGCAGTTTACCTATCTATCTATACAAGATTTGATCCTTGCAAGTAACGAGTTTAAGGGGATTGACAACCCTCTTGCTCGTGTTGGGTGCAAGTATTTGCTTTTGTGTGTGCATGTGTTGTTCACTAGGGTTTGGTTGGTGCTCCTATTGGTTCGATAAACCTTGGTTCTCATTGAGGGAAAGACTTATCTCTAATGTACAACTTCACCCTTCCTCTTCGGGGGAAATCCCAACATAGCTCACAAGTAGCACTAACTATGGTCGAGAGCCATGACATTGAGGTATTGAGGCGACCTCTACATGCAAGATACATGCCTTGAAAGAATGTCTTTAGGAACACCAATTGATGCAACAGGTGACGCGACATCATCTTCATCGTGCCCGAGTGGTGATGAAACATCAAGCTGACAAGCAACGCACTGAAAGGACATTTGCAATTGGCGATGTTGTCTTTGGAAAGTTGCATCCCTATGTGCACACTTCAGTTCACAAATGTGCCAACCACAAGCTAGCTTTCAAGTGCTTGGACCGTTTAAGATTATTCAGGAAGTCAATAGTCATATACAAGCTAGTGCTACCTGAGAACTCCAAAGTTCATCCAGTATTCCATGCATCCCTTCTGTACAAGGCACTCCTCCCAGGTATGACGACATCATTTGAACCCCCAATACCTACTTACCTTCATGTTGAAATTCTCAACCGTTGCTGGTGCTAAACATCGCAAAGGCATCACGAGCAAATCCTAGTGCGCTGTCTGACCCTGCCTTCCCCCATACCACTTGGGAAGACATCATCGCCATCTTGGAGCTTTTTGCAACTTCAATGCCTTGTAGGAAAACCACCTCTCGAGAAGGGAGGAGTGTTATGGCTCGGGCAGAAATGTTGCCATGGTAACTTCCATCTGAAAGCTCAAGCAAAACCGCTGTTGTGGTAGCCAAATACAATGTCATGGCAAGACTTCCTGTCACGGGAACCAATCAAGGGGAAGGTCCATCATCGCCAACATAGCTAGGACCATCCACCACAATGTGGAGTATGTAGGACCGAAATGGGTCAATGACAAGATCCCATCCATCTTAATGCCAAGGCTACTTAACGCAAAGGGGCATAACAGTAGAAAGCATTCGCATAGGATCAGGCACGACAAAGGCATCGACAACTCTCTTCTTCCTTTGTTTTCCTTTATTCTCTCACATAAACAAGTGTAGTTGAGACAATATCCCTGTAAACGTGTTGCTTGTGAGTGAAATATAGACCGGGACTCTAACGTGGGAGCCCTTGGCGCAGAGCGCAGGCACGCGGAGAGCGTCGAGAACATGATCTACATCCACGATGACAACAACATGGAGAGGAGAAGAGTGTTTGAGCGACGTAGGCACGACGACGACCACAGGTGGATCATGCGTACGTAGGGGGCCACACCACATGTGATCTTCTCATGCTTCATTCCAGGCCATCATCAAAGCGGAGACGGGCATTGTGGCCTTGCTGAGCAGGAGAGACGTGCCCGCCTCCGCACGTAGAAGGGTGGAGGTTTGCTGACCCGCAGCGATGTCATGTCGCGGGGCGGAGAGGGGATGACGGCATCCCGAAGCTTGTCATTCTTAGCAACGATGAGGCACGAGAGGCCGACATCGAGGCCCTTCGCGTACCAGCCCAAGAGGGTGAAGAGACGCAAGGGACAACGCAGTCAGCAGACAACTGATTTTTACATACTCCCTCCATCCATGAATCAGTGTTCATATAGAAATTTTAAGACATATTATGAAGTAGAATAAAAATGCATTGGGAAGGTGCGAGCCAACATCTCTCTCCTCTTTAATATCCCACCCCTAATGAGCTAAGTGCATGTAGAAAATGAGATCATGTGTTGAATGTCATTAATTTTGATTACCGTGTGATGAGAGAGAACATTTTGTTTCTACTTTAAAGTGCATTGGTAATATAGAAGTACACTTTTTTGCACGTTAACATGTGTCTCATTAGTAAAATAAAAATTCAGTTACAAGCCCACATAAATGTTGATATTACAGGACTGAAAAGATAGGATAATCCTACACACAAAAATCAGCGTCTATCCCTCTCCATCGAGGGAAAGGAGACATGTCACCTCTTCACCCGAGCTCAACGCGGCTCCATCGCTGATCTGCAGCTTTACGGACCTCCAAAGTAGTTTGCCTGAAGCAAAATCATTGTCATTGAAAGAATCAGATCGGGGCAACGTGTCCCCGGACACGCCATCAAACTCCAGAACTGACACCCCCGCACGACTACGATGTCGGAGGAGAAACTGTCAGCCTTCAACCACCAACCCAACACATGATGCACCTTCTTCCAACTATCACCTGCGTAGACAACCATCTGCGCGTACTCCCGGACAACAAAACCTCCCTGCTCCACCGTGACGTCGGAGACAATGCCACAACAACGTGGATAGAGCAGAAGGAGAGACACACCTGAAGGGGTCACCGCCGCCGCCTCGCCGACACCATCCATGAACCCTATCACCGCCGATATGAAGGATTTGTGGATAAATTTTGAATGCCAAATATACACTTAATTATTCGTGGACGAAGAGAGTATACTAGCAAAATACGATGTGTTGCACCGGGGACAACTTTGTTCTAGTAGTTCAAGGTAGGAAGATCTTGATTAGATTGAGATTGAGATATGGTGTGAACCCATAATTCATATGCAAAGGTAAGGAAATATATGATGTGATTGAGATTGTGTATGTACAACCACGCGAGTTTGTTTTGTTATTTGCTTGCAAGGGATTTCTTGCTATTAACGATTTATTTACCCAAATGATAGTGCCTACACGTGTGGCACTTATCAACATGCCCACACACATTTGATGCTGTTCGATCCATTTGCACAAATTTTAAAGTAATTGCCATCTGAGTGAAGAGCCACGTAAACACTCAGCGTCGTGTGGGCGTTATCATTTAGTGCCACACGTGTGGGTGCTCCTCGCTCGAATGGACACAGGAGCGCTCGCCCGAACGTGTGGGCGAAATTGCTCTTCGCCCACATGACGCTTACATGGTGATAGATGGCAATTACATGTGTATATGTGGCAACTAGTTAATCACACACGGCAACTATGGTTGACCATATATGTCAACTATGGTTTAACCACACACACAACTACTAGAGGTGTGCATATATGGCAACTAGTTAATCACACACGACAACTATGTTTGATAATACATGACAACTATGGTTTAACCACACATGACAACACCAATTATTACACATGCCAACTATATCTAATGATACATGGCAGACATAGCAACTACAGTTAATTACACATGACAACTAAAGTTGATTATGCGCTCAGGGGTGAGGGTGGGCAAGTTGCCACAGGGGGTCATGTGGGTCGTCGTAACTGCGCCCAAATGTGTGGGCAATATTAATGTTCGCCCACACAAAGACGTGTGGGCTGTCTCCTGGATATGACGACACAACTCATATGGTCGGGTATCCATTGTGCCACATGTGTGGCAATTATTGGCGTCCTTTATTTAATTTATGTTGATCGCTTTGCAAGAAATTTCTTTCCCTGAAAATGAGGAGATAGGGGTTGGTTTGGAAAAATAATAATGAGGGTTATCACATGGTTTGAAAAAAGGACAACGCTAACGCCCACACGTGTGGTGGGAGCGAAACTCGCCCATATGTCCTATAACACACATACTACGACACGTCACCGTTTGTATGCATGTGGAAATCTTTTTAGATTTTCAGTTTTTAAAATGTTTTATCTCTTAAATAAAAAATCCAATTAAAAATCCATGTTTATCATTAAATCACTCGCGACAAGATCTTCGAAACTAGATCTCATATCAATATATTTCGACGAACTTTTTTGGGTTAAAAATTGCCATGTCTATTGCACATGAATTGCCATGGTGCTTACACTGAAGTTGCCATGATATGTTTCAGTTATTTTCTTCTACATTTAAAAGTAAATTTTAACATATTATAAAATGGGGAATTAAGAAACTAGACTTGTCATGAACCATAAACTAAAATTGCCATGATACATGCATTTAAAATTGCTACGGTTCATACAAAAATAATTTTTATGGTCAAAGTACTGGAATTGGCATCATCAAAATACTAAAATTGCCATGCTCTCTAAACTAAAATTGCCACATAACAACTTTAGTTTAAGCACTATGACAACTACAGTGTAAACATCATGGCAACTTTTGGGGAAAAAAATCATCGAAACATATCAACATGAAGTCTAGTTTTGAAGATCTCGTCGAGACAGATCTAATGGTGAAAACGGATTTTTAATTGGATTTTTTAATTCGGAGATAAAAAAATTAAGCCGAAAACCAAAAAGAATTCTGCTGATGTCATCTGTTTTGATGTGATAAAATGAATGGTAATGAAAGCGTGTGGGCAATGTGTAAAATGCCACATATGTGGGCGTTAATTTTTTCGTTGAAAAAAAATTGGTAGTAAGGTAGGGGGGCATGTATCGATGAGAGCGGTGAAAGCGGAACCCACAAACTCCCCTTTAATAGTATAGAGATTTAACAGTTGAATTGCATTACTTAGATATTCCTCTCTGTATTACTATCATGTACTGAATGAATTATAAAAAGAATATAGATCATATAGAAGCATATCGTGTCCTTTACATTCCACAAATGGCGTACTCTGATGTACGCCCAACATCATATTAACTGAGACAATATTGTAAACATTAGCTTGCAGCAGATCCTGAACTAGAAATGGAGTACTTTGGAAGGTTGAACTGTAATCTTCGCTCTACAAAGTCCGGTGGCCGCTGGTATACAATGGAAGCAGCATGGATGAGGATGCGGGCAGTCAATCCCCAGATTACGTACTTCCGGTTTTCTTTCTCATAGTCGAAGTACTGAATTGTGAAGACTTGCCCCATCCGTTCTCTCTCCTCGGATCTCCTGTTCTCATCCTGCATCAGGGGACAAATGACATCCAATACATTACAATATCCATCTTAGCAAAAAAAGACCGATTCCTTTCCATTGTTGGCAAGAATGGTCATTTGGTCTGGCTGCGCCTAACAAAGTTCTCAATTCTTGCTAAATAGCTAAGTATACATATCGCTGTACCTTAAGTTGTATGGTAATTCATGCAGTAACCTTTTTTTTGTTTCTTTGTATGCCGCAAACTGATCATTTGAAGTATAAACTGAAACTATCATAAGCATCCAACCAAGGCTGCAACAGTTACTACCCATAAAATCATAAATGAAAAAAGAATGAATAAAGTGTGTACCTTAATTAGCATGTGAGAACACAAAGACACTAACCTTGAGGAACATCTCCAGGGGTACATCGAAAATGTCATCAACCTCGTGGATGTTGGGAACAGGTTTAAATCCTTCTATATCTGAGAGTATGCCAACAATAGGAACAACTACCAGAAGATGCTGCGACAGACATTGAGAATGTTAACCTTAATGAATCTTGAGGCTGTAGATATAACTTTAACACTGAATGAACTATGGAAGTTTACTAATTCAAACTTTAAAAGTGACATCTTGTTAAAACTCAAAACAGTGAGGAGCACAAAATTTTGTTCTGGACTTGGATTGTAAATGTTATGAACAAAATAAAGTGCTACTGATCAGACAATTGCAAATTGTGCAACTCAATTACATGGTTTACATATAAAAAATCATTGGGCTCTCGCTCTAGCAGTGGCAGCAAAAATGCAATTCAGTTTAAGAGTTTAGCTTTGTTGTTGTTATGGAAACAATTTTCGACTAGGGGTATCCTTAGTAGTGTGGCTAGTGAAATGTAAGTAGGGTTCTGTACGACGGCCTTATAGCGACGGTCATCGTACACCAACAAAGTGACACATCGTAGTTTTTTAAATAGGCTGTGAGGAACGTCTAGAACGTGTTATGTGAGGAACATTTAGAACGTCGCCGCTTCCGACAACTCTCGACGATCCGAGCCTTACAAGGTCCCTCGAACTCCAAAACCCGACCACCTAGTGAACGAAAGTACATGCCTATGGGCGGCTATTTTATATCCTAGTGGTCCTTGACAAATGACCAAGGCCCTTGAGGGTGGTAGGTTGGAGGGATACATGGGTAAATGATGGTCCATGGGTGTATGAAGACTAGTCAAAGACGGAGGTTTTTTTAGGCTGTCACAGGCGGAGGTGTCCATGGCTCATGGTGAGCCATGCATTCTCATTCATTCATGAATGGGCCTTGGCTAGCTGCACCTCATCTTAAACTGGGCTTCTTTGCTTCTCTGTCTTCATCTTTGACTTGGTCTTCTATTTATCCCTCTTCCTTTGACTTGTTGACCATGAGGACTTGCTTGGACTTTTGTTGACCATGGTGGCTTGCTTGGACTTATGTTGACCGTTTATGTAGATGCCATTTAGGACTAAGTGGAACCCCTGGTATAATATAGCTATTTCTTCAACAAGCTTCCACTAAATATCAAAATAATATGATCCCAACAGTTAGTGGAATCTTTTCTATAACTAGCTAAATGATTGTGCATTGTTGCAGGATTTACTTTTTTGTTATATACTATCAGTTGTTTAAACACTTGTGCAAAATGAAAAACTATTATCTTGAAAATTACATCAACCGAAACAGCCATATGTCCTCCATAGAATGGATGACAATAGTGGTAATCCCTAGTAACTTTAAAGGTGAACAAACCGCCACCGCTCAGAACTTTATAAGAGTAAAGATAAAGATTTCAAATGAGTTTTCTGTGATGATATGACAAGTACCAAAGTAATCTTCTGATACATTTGACAAGTCTGATTTAAATGCTTAATTTATTACATGATGTTGAACCGGTATGGGCCCAGCGCGGAGGTTGCTGCTGAGAAGTGCTGTGGTGATTTGCTGCTGCTGTTTGAGAAAGAGAAGTAGTTCTGCTGCTGCTGCTGCTGCTGCTTGCTGTTGGTGGTGAGAAGGAGGTTGTCTCTGCTGCTGCTACCGGGGGTGGCCGCAACCCGATGGGTGAACCAAAAGTCATTGCTCAGGCTTTTGAGAAGCTCGCTAAGATCCTTCTGGAGTCGAACTCTGGGGCATCGTTCCTCAACAGGAAGTGGCTCAGAAGCACGAACTGTCGCCCATGGACATGAAGCTAGAAGGGGCCACCAACTATCTAAGCTGTCCGGAGGGCATTGCTGGCTGTGGAGCAGAAGGAGCTTGATGGGCACTTGTTGGGTGCTGTTGATGAACCAGGAGACAAGACTACCGCGGAAGGAAAGAGGTGGAAAGTCATAAACTCTGTGCTCATTGACTGGTTGTTGAACTCGGTGGTGCCCTCCATTGGACACTCTGTGGAGGGGCTATCCACATTCACTGCGATATGGAAGAGTGGTAGAACCAGGGTCCTACCGGACCTGCTCCGGAGGTTGTAGGGAAAGGATGGAGCGGGACGGGGCGATGATCGGGCGCGCCGGCGGCTGGGCGCCGTCGCGTCGGAGGGAGATGGCGGCGGCGGCTAGGGTTCCGACTCCTCTGGGAGCCGGGCAATAGGGATAATAATATTCTTATTGCTTAATTCCAAAAAGAGTCTTACAGCCTATATTTATAACCTAGATAACTTGCATAAGAATTAACCTAAGATAACTTGCATAAGAATTAATCTAAGATAACTTGTGGGCTAAGATTGCCCGGTGGGCCTAGCTAAACCGGCCATAACACTTCTCCCCGCCTGCACAAACAGCTCGTCCTCGAGCTGTAAGGTGGGGAAGCGCTTGCGGAGCTCCTCGAGGCGATCAACCAGCGTCAAACACCTTCTCGACGGCTGGGGCGGCCAGGTCGGCGGCGACGGCGTCCTCCGGAATGTAGTCTGCAACCTCCAGGTAGAAGAGTCGCGGGCAGGCATGGCCGGGCGTGTAGGGCTCGTCGCAGTTGAAGCACAACCCTTGGCGGCGATGCTCGAGTAGCTCGGCTGAGGTGAGCCGGCGAAACGGGCGCGCCACGGTCGCGGCTAGGGGTGTCGTAGAAGCCTGCGCAGGCCGACCCTGCGCGGAATCCGGCCCGGGTAGCGACCCAGTGCTCCGGGACGGTGATTCATGCTGGATGGCCACCGCGCGGCGCTCGAACGCGCGGGCGTAGTACATGGCCGACTGGAGATCCTGGGGTCCCCGAAGCTCCACGTCCACGCGGATGTGATCCGGAAGTCCACCGACAAAGAGGTCGGCCCGCTGCTGCGCCGTCATGCCCGACGCATGGCAGGCCAGGGCCTGGAAACGGTTGGCGAAGTCCTGCACCGTGGAGGTGAAGGAAAGGCGGCCGAGCTCCGCCAGGCGGCTCCCGCGAACTGGAGGCCCAAAAAAGCGAAGGAGGTAGAGCTCGCGGAAGCGCTCCCAAGGGGGCATGCTGCCCTCGTCCTGCTCGAGGGCGTAGTACCAGGTCTAGGCTGCACCGCGGAGGTGGTAGGATGCCAGCCAAGTGCGCTCCGACGCGAGCGTGCGCTGGCCACGGAAAAACTGCTCACACTGGTTGAGCCAGTTAAGCGGGTCCTCCGTGCCGTCATAAGTGGCGAAATTGATCTTGGCAAACCGTGGCGGCGTCTGGGTCGGCGCGCCATGGCCGACCGGCTCGGCGGTGCGGAGCAGTGATGATGACAACACCCGGTCAACGGTGGGGAGATCGTCGTAGGCCCTCGCGGAGCCGGACGAGGCCCCAGACTGCAGCGTGGGTACCGGTGGGTCCCCAGCCTCTGTGTAATCTGGCGGTGGCGACGTCCCGGTTAGCCAAGTCGGGATCGGGGACGATGATGGCGGAAGCCAGACCTACTGGATCGGAAGTCCTCCCGGTGTGGACTGGCCCAATCCGAAGCTGGGCGACAGCGGTGGGAGCTGAACCGGCGCGGGCGGCGCGGCTGGGGCCGGCACGGGCCACTGCGGCGCTGGCGCGGGCGCAGGAGGCGTGGGTGGCGCCGCGAGAACCGGTGCGGGCCACTGCGGCCAGGACGGCGCTGGGGCGGCCGACGGCTGGAGCGACGGATGGGCCCCGACGATCGCCGCGGGTACCGAGTACCAGGGCAGGTGCAGCAAGGGCGGGGGCCCGCCGGTGTAGCCCGCCGGGAACGGCGGCAGGGGCGCCCCGCTCGGGCCCGACACGTTCTGGATCGGCCAGTGCGTCACCGGGTGGCTGTAGGCGGGGGGCGCAGCCGGCGGGGTGGTGTGCGGGCCGGTCAAGTAGAGGGAGATGCCCTGGACGGCCGTCACGAGGTCCCGCAGGGTGCTGGTCATCTCCTCCGGCGTGAAGACGGAGGTTGTCGGCGGCACGGAGGTGATCGGGGCCGGCGGCGTTGGACCCTACAGTGGTCATCGGGGCGGTGGTGATGATGGGCAACGGCGGCGTGGGTGTTGATGACGACATGATCGAACCCGAGTCTCTGGATACCAAATTGGTAGAACCAGGGGTCCTACTGGACCTGCTCCAGAGGTTGTAGGGAAAGGATGGAGCGGGACGGGGCGTTGATCGGGCGCGCCGACGGCTGGGCGCGGGCGCGTCGGAGGGAGATGGCGGCGGCGGCTAGGGTTCCGGCTCCTCTGGGAGCCGGGCAATAGGGATAATAATACTTTTATTGCTTAATTCTAAAAAGAGTCTTACAGCCTATATTTATAACCTAGATAACTTGCATAAGAATTAACCTAAGATAACTTGCATAAGAATTAATCTAAGATAACTTGTGGACTAAGATTGCCGGGTGGGCCTAGCTAAACCGGCCATAACAAAGACTTTGTCCAGCCAGTACTCAGGCAAGGGCAATGTCATGCTAATTGCTCAGATTGAGGGGAAGATCAGTCGGCTACGCCAAGGTGACGACATGTCAGTGATGGCATATGTGGCAGAGCTGCAGGCTTTGTGGGCCGAGCAGGATAACCGTGATCCTCCGGAACTCTATGATGCGGCTCACATCGAGTCAGAGCGCAAGTGGATTGCGCACAGCCGTGTGCTGTGTTAGATGTGTATAGCGCTTTTTGGTTTATCCCCATTGTATAAGGGGTCTCTTGCACTTTACCATACACATGTATATGTATTGGCCTTTGGCCCTCCTGTGAATGCAGTTGCTGTTTATCTAACATGGTATCAGATGTTAGGTTCCTCCCTCTCCCGCACGCTGCAACTCCGTGCTAGCTCTCCTCCCCCAATTCGCTCCGTCCCCTTGCCGTCCGGCTGACGTCTCTCTGCCCGATTCAGGCCGCCCCCGACCCGAGCTCCGCCCATCGCCGCAGATCCGTCGGGGCCTGCTCGTCCTGTGCCCGGCCTCCCCGTCAGGCTCAGCCTCCCCTCGTCGCGGATCGGACCGGGACCTGCTTGTCCCGTGCACGGCAGCTTCCCCGTTAGGCTCAGCCGCCTCCCATGCACGGCCGGGGCCCTCCTTGCCGCTCGTCCACCTCTCGCCGCGGAACCGCCCTGGCGGTCCC